AAGTTGTGTTGTCTAAATCGGCCTTTACATAGTTGCATATATTTTAAATATATTAAACAAAATTCCATAATACGCTAGTTGCAACCGAATTTACTTGAAATGGTACAAGATCGAGGGTAACAATGACTACCAATGCCTGCGGTGGAAGAAATATTTTACTTTGTGGTACCACAAGGGAACATTGAAAAATGTTCTGCAAATAATCAAGTAAATCGACTTTCGGACACTGTAACACTAACAAGTTGTCAAATTGAATGTCATGGTATATATTTTAACAGAAAAAATAAAAATAATTTTAGTGCACTGACAATCTTAATAATACTTTCAGGAATATAATATAAAAGCAATTTAGATAACGTGCACCAGGGGTCTGATTCTAAGGTAAATTTACAGATGGCAAAAAAGGGCACTACTAGGGCGATCTGGGAGCGTGCTCCCCCAGAAAATTTTGAGAATCAGGTGTCACAGATTGATACTGTAGTTTATAATACTGTACATTCTATAGTCTATACTGTACATTTATACACTATTGCACTATTAAGATAGATGAACTTACAATTGCATTTCTGAGGTCATACCTGCAGTACAGGTAACATTCTTTCTATTGGTTAGAATAATCTCCTTTTATCTAAATTTTTACAATAATCTTTTCTTTCTTGGGGAAATATTTCACTCAACAAATTTTCTGGGACAAATGGTCTCATTGTCCGATACTTTTTCCACGCTTTACCAATGCTTTCAATTTGTGGCTACAAATACTTTCATGGTTGAAAAATTATTGTTACAACGTTGTTACACAGTTTATCATTCAAAGACTTTCAGAAATTTTTTTTTTTTTGGGGGGGGAGCTGCCCCCCCCCCGGCCCTCCTGGTGTCTGCCCCTGCAATAGCGCTCAGTGAAACCCATCTACATTTGTATATTTTCTAGCTGGTTATCGAATGATGTCAGTTCTAAATCCCGAACTTTGTCGCAAGGTAACATTACGCCATTGCGCTTCCTTGGTAGCACTATCCACGCTACTTCCGGTATGTGACGTCACAACATGGTGGCTCGCTTTGGATTCACTTCCGGTCAATCTGTGGTTCACATGGCTGGCATGGAAATTTCACAAACAATCCGATAATAAGTCCGCAAGGGAGTTATTTCGCTTCAGCTTGCTTCATTTGCCCATATTAATGTTTCTTGTTTTATTTCATAAGAAGTCCAGAAAAGCTGAACCATTAGACATCGAAAACAGTTTACAAGGTTGAGAAATTTTAAACAAGATTTGAGACAGTTAAGGTCTCAGTTGGGCGCTGGTTTCTATTTGTCGAAAAGATAGAGACGCATTAGACTAGAGGTGTGCGAATCCGATCCGAATCCGATTCGTTCGGATTTCGGAACAAAAATATTCATTTCGGATTGGATCGGATTGATAAAGTTGTTTCGTAGTCGGATCGGACTTCGATATTCGAAATAAAATGAATTAATTATCCACGACAACGCGGTTGTCGCTGTATTAATCGTTTGATACTTCAATTGGACGTCATTTTGTCAGCTTCTTGACATGTATTTCCTCCTTTTATATTTATTTGGTTAAATATTTCCACTTGAATGAGAAATTTATTTTATTAAAGGATTCTTCGGATTGGATCGGAATTCTTTATCAAACTCGGATTAGACAATTTCGGATCGGATCGGATTTTAAACATTAGCCAATTGTCGGATTATAAACGTCCAATCCGATCCGATGCACACCTCTACATTAGACCATAGTCTGTCAAGATATGATGACCTGGAAGCCTGGCAGACCTTTGTTTGATGTTGAACTGTACCTCACCGTGCACAGATCATTTGTCTCAACTTCATTAGTATCAGAAAGTTTGAGCAAGACAATGAAGTCGAAGACATATACTTGATAATTTTTGCCCGTCTGCACATTATCTTTCGCATACTGAGTTTGAGGTCACTAGTGGTTGCTCAACATTTCTTATCGTTATAGATTCATGTCCCGCTGTTTATGAATACTGACCCTAATTCCTTACCCTGACCTGGACAAAACAGCAAGACGTGAAGCTCTATCCTGTCTTTGTTCTTCTGCCTCAGAACGAATAGACTTGCTCCAAGTCTCTCTTTCATTGTCATATGGTATCGATCCACTATAGTGTACATTACATGACGTAGCACGGAGAGGCGGAGCGAGAAAGAGAGACTTGTGACTTGTCAACTTCGGAAAATCTCGGTTTAAAATTTAATTGTTTTCTGTCGGTGTTTATATTTATTGATCTAGCACAGTGTAAATAACATGAGTTCCATTATAGTAAATAATACAGTAAGAAATTGAAGGAAAACAATTAAGCAAGTCTTGCATTTTCGGTTAAGTTTTGAACCGAGATTTTCCGAAGTTGACAAGTCTCTCTTTCTCGCTCCGCCCCTCCGTACTACGTCATGTAATGTACACTATAGTGGATCAATACTATATGACAATGAAAGAGAGACTTGGAGCAAGTCTACAGAACGAAGTTCACGAAAAATTTTGCCAAAATATTCGTTCTGAACGAAGGCAGAAGATCGAAGACGGGCTATGGATTCATCATTCGTGTCTCGTCGTTCTGTCTGTGGCAGGGTTAAGCCTGGTTTCCATATGGTCGTAACGGTCGTAAAGATTGAGTCGCGATCTTTCTCAACAGCTGAAATACAACTTTTAGAACTGAAAATACGTGGAGTGATTATAACTAGAGAATACTTATGATTTATATGTGGTTTACAGGTATAAACTATTATAAACTGGCCGTTGAGAAAGATCGTGACTCTATTTTTACGACCATTATATATGTCCATATGGAAACCAGGTTTAAGGATTATGGTCAGCATTCATAAACAGCGAGACATGAATCTATAACTTGCCTTCGTTAAACGATCATTGCTGACCCTAAACTCAGTATGCGCGAGATAATGCGCAGACGGGCAACAATGGACCTATTGTCTAATAAACAAAATTTTGATCTAGACAAGTCTAGACAAACATTTTATCACAGCTTGAAAGAGCATCACAAAATTAGTAATATTCCGAAGTTTCGTTGCAAAATGTTGTAAAATGCAGATAATATAGCCCTGCGAAGCTTCTCATTTTGTATTTAATACGCGCGGGAAATTGTACCTTTTTTCAGAAAGCGGGACCAATTTCCCTTGCGTAATACAAAATACGTGCTCCCTTGCTCATATTTTCTATTATTCATCGTGGTTGCACGTTTCATCTCAGCCATGCTATATTTAACGATTACTTCGGCTAGTAATACGAAAACACAATGAGCTCAATTACCGTGACCGTGCACAAATTCAGGGTGCGATAATTCGCGTACTTACGTATACCGGAGGTACGCCAGTATTACAGTCTGGTACTTCTTTGTTTTCAGCCAAGTACCACGTAGGTGCGCGGAACTCTTGCTATCTGCGTAATTACATGTTGCTGGCACCAGATGTCCTTCTCAAGCCAAACATATTCAATACCGTAGTAAAAGTAGGTCTAATATAATATCATAATATGTGTCAAGCTTTCGTTGGTAGGGATGCAATGGACCAATCCCTAATTAACCAAAATTTTGAACTCAACCATTCCAGACAAAAATTTCATCACAGCTTGAAAGAGCATCACAAAATTAGTAATATTCCAAAGTTTCGTTGCAAAATGTTGTAAAATGCGGATAATATAGCCTTGCGAAATTTGCAACTTTCAGTCATTTTGTATTACAAGCGGGAAACGGTTTCCACTTCCGTGCGTAATACAAAATGACTGAAAATTATAAACTTCGCAAGGCTATATTATCAGCATTTTACAACATTTCGCAACGAAACTGCGGAATGTTACTAATTTTGTGATGCTCTTTCAAGCTGTGATGAAATTTTTGTTTAGGCTAGTTGAGATAAAAATTTTGGAAAAGTGGTAACCGTTTCCCGTTCGTAATACAAAATGACTGAAAGTTGCAAATTTCGCAAGGCTATATTATCCGCATTTTACAACATTTTGCAACGAAACTTTGGAATATTGCTAATTTTGTGATGCTCTTTCATGCTGCATGTGATGAAATTTTGCCTAGACTTGTTGAGATCAAAATTTTGGTTAATTGGGGATTGGCCCATTACCTGAAAAATATAAAGCGAATTTCGACGTTTCGAGCGAAGGCCCTTAGTAATTCACAGGCCTTCAAAATTTTCCTTCGAAATTCTCCTTATATTTTTCAGGTAGTTGCGTCCCTACAAATAACGAAAGCTTGTTCATTTCATTGGCACTATACCTACACTGGCAAATACAGTTCTAACATGTGCCACCATGATCGAAACATGATTGGACTGATGGCACTAAGGAATTTTGAAGTCGATTGTTCGTATATATGCAATAGACAACTTGTATGTTAGATTAATTTTTGATTTAGGCAAAAAAAGTGTAATTCCCGTAAAGAACTTATTAAAATTAGTAAAATTGCACAATTTGGTTACGAAATGTTGTAAAGCTTGGAAAATATAGCGTTGCGAAGTTTGCATGTTTTGTATATGTTTGTATTACGTGCGGAAATTGTTACCTTTTTTGAGCCGAAAATGGTAAAAATTTCTGCACGTAATACAAACATATACAAAATTTGCAAGCTTTGCAAGGCTATATTTTCCAAGCTTTACAACATTTCCCAACCAAATTTTACAATTAAAATTCAGTCATTCTAATTTCATTTTCCTCTTTACTTAGATTAAAATTTAGTCTAACATGCAAGTTGTCCATTGTCCTTCTTGTTCCAACTCGTAGTTTGAATATACTTTCAGGAACATGTACTTTATAAGTACACATTGAGTGTGAACTTAAGATGAGCTAAATCTAGTACGCGGACGTGACAAAAAGACAGTTAAAACTTCTGCTTTTCTTTTGGATTTGTTACCAGTTAAGACCCCGTTCACACGATACCGGCAGAGTTTGAAAACGGAACGAAATTCTTACGTTTGGGGGTTGCGTTCACACGATGCCGGTATGAAAAAAATTGAAACCGTAACGCTAACCGTAAGAGTTTGAAAACGATATGCAAACCGTAAGAGTTTGAAAACGGAACGAAATTCTACCGTCAGAGTGCCGTGTGAACGCCTAACCGTAAGAATTTCATTACGTTTATGCAAAATGAAATTAACAAAACTGCAAAAGTTGTTGTTGGATATTTTATTCTGTCTATTTTAACTGATTTGTGCAGCATATTGTCAAAGCGGAATATAATCTGCCAGTATCGTGTGAACAGTTGAAACCGTGATGATTTTCTGCCGGCAGAATTCTATGCCGGTATCGTGTGAACATACAGGGTCTAAATTTGTTCTTCACCTGTATCCTTCTTTGTTGACAAAAAGAATCCATATTTTTTACCCGTGTTGCTCACACTGCAAATTTAGAGTGATTTTTGTCACGTCCGCGTACTAGATTTAGCAATGACATCTTAAGTTCTCTTGTACTAGCGCAAGTACCCGGCGATAATCGTTGGCGTACCTGTCGGGTACAAGTAAAAATCTGAAATTATCACACCCTGAAATTAACATAAACTCAGACAAAAACATGACATCATGACGTCTGTTTAGTTTTCAGACCATCCTATCTTGATCTAGACTATGACTCGATGCTTCCTGAACTTGCTTCACTGCACACGAAAAGGCTGACAGTAGGCAAATCCAGCTTTTAATTTATGCGCGCAGGGGGTGACGGGAAGTGAGGTATCATATTGCTGATTATCCGTGTTTACACGGCCGCCATTTTTATTTTTTCAGCATAATCAGCAATATGATACCTTACTTCCCATCCCCCTCTACGCGTATAAATTAAAAGCTGGAATTGCCTATGGAGCCTTACCCATAGATATCTTATATACACTAGATAGCGCATCTCTTTTAGTAAAATTGAAGCCAAGAATATTCCAGCGGTTACCCCCATTTGAATAGATTGGCGGCCATGTTGAAGTTTCCCACTCGCTAATAAACGCTTAAGAAACAACAACAACTTTCATCATTTGAATAGTTTGAAAAATTGAAAATGTATTTGGAATAGGTTAAACTTAATGTTTAAGTTCCCTGTTTAAGAAATAGAAAACATACGAGTCTTCTCATTTCATGAGAATGTCTACCCTGGATTCCAGAGCCTTCGATAGTAAATAATAAATTGAAATGTCGCGAAGGCTCTGGTTCAACGGGGCGATTCTTTGATTAAACCGCGCGGTTTAATCAAAGAATCGCCCCGTTGAACCAGAGCCTTCGCGACATTTCAATTTATTATTTACCGTCGAAGGCTCTGGAATCTCGGGTGGAGAAGGTCCTGAATTGCAGAATAATTAGATGCACTATCTAATGTATATAAGATATCTATGGCCTTACCTCGCCGTATTCCATGTGTGCTCCATATAGACCTGGGGCGAGAACTCGAGCTCTGTTGGACATCAGTTCCAGTCTCTTTCTATTGTTTTTGTTTGCGCGGTCAACACGAAGCTGGCAATTAGGAGTGTGCCGAAATTTCGTATTTTGACATCGACTTAAAGAATAACACTATGGTTTTATGAACTGATAAACTTGGTTAGCGATACGGTCCTTTAGAAAAATCTGGAATTACTGTAGTTGGGGAAGGTGGTATTTTTAAAACCATTTTACGACCTTCCGATAGCTATTCGACGTCAATTTCTGCCATCATGGCTTCACATTTACAAACTTCAAATGATAAACTTGATCGAAAGTAACTAATTTGAATTCTTCAATTTTATAAAAAAATATATTTTATATTTGGACAAGTTAGAATATTGGTGTCGCCACCTTAAGTGATTCTTGAACGCAAACTGTGGTTGTTTTTAATTCGTCAAATAGCAATGGATTAAAACGATATGATTTCAATTCGCACAAAAATCTGAAACTTCTACTAAAGCTAACGTTGTAATACCATCAAATATACTGGGGGCATTCTTTTTGGGACACCCTGCATAGTAGGAAATTTTAAAATATTCAGGAAATTACCTATTAGGGTTATTTTAGAAAATTTTATTTTAGCCTGGTTTCCATATATGGTCGTAAAAATAGTCACGATCTTTCTGAACGGCCAGTTTGTAATAGTTTATACCTGTAAACCATATATAAATCATAATTATTCTCTAGTTATAATCACCACGTATTTTCAGTTCTAAAATGTTGTATTTTGGCTGATGAGAAAGATCGTGACACAATGTTTACGACCGTATGAAAACCAGGCTTTTGAGTTCACGCGCGAGCAATTAAACGAGGTTTATCACGAGAAACGCTCATTGTATGGATTTATACAAAGTCAAGGCTAACATGTTTAAAATACGAAAGCTATTCCCGTGATCATTATGGTATTATATATAATCATCTTGTGTGGTAAAGTTGGGGGCTGCTAATATAATTAGCACAAAGCAAAAAAGGTATGTTTGCACAAAAACATTTATCGCATTGTATTCTGACATTTGTATTCCTTTTAATCTACCGGTAATTTGATTGTTTTTCCCATTTCGGGAAATTCTACTTTCGCAATGTGCCTCGAGTTTGTCAACAAAGAATGGTGACGTCTCTAAATCTAACCTTCATGAGGGCGTAAACCACTCTAAAACGGTTTCGAATCCCTTCTTTTTCCATATTTCGAGACTATTAGAAGCCACAAAACTGCACCGAAAGGTCATCTAATACTAACGCCGCAGAAAAACGTCTGCGCATGCGCAAGAACTAGACCTTTATGAAATTAAATAAAAAGTCTGATTTGAACGGATGTATCGAGCGCTTTGACGTACAAAATGGTCAATTACCAAAATTTAGACTTACGAAACAAACATATTCCTAAGAAGGCAAGGCTCTTGAAGTAAGAGTCTTAACATCCTAAACCTTCCGAGTGAGTCATCAAGTTTAATTGTTGTTTACGCAAAAGTTTTTGATTCTATATTATTGAGAAAAATGTGGATCATATGAACCTGCGATAGAAGTTTCAGATTTTTATACTAGATAAAATGATTATCCTATTGTTTTAATCCATTTATATTTGAATTATCAAAATAACCAGCTATTTGCCTTCTAGATTCATTTAAGGGGGCGACACAATATTTCAACTTGTCCAAATTATGGGAATTAGGTCAAAACTATTTCAGGCATTTTAAGAAGAATTCCCACCTGTCTACTCTAAAGACAGGATTTGTGCTGCCTAATATTAAAGATTTCGTTTGATTGGAGCTTGCATGGGCAGAAACTGGATACAACTGCCGTCAAATTTCTGGTTTTGTGGACGAAATCCTGGATAAAGAGTCGTACGAATAAGAGCGAAAAGTTATTGTAAGACACATGAACATTGAATTTTTAAAATACAATTTCGCAACGGCCAGTTTATAACAGTTTATACCTATAAACCACATATAAATCATAAGTATTCTTTATCAGTGCTTCCATTTGCAAGGAAATTTCAAAAGGAAATTTTGGCCTTTGCAAGGAAATGTGCAAGGAAATAAATTTTACAAGGAAATGGCAAGGAATTTTGTTGTCAGGCAGGAAATACGAAGGGTATTAAGTTATATATATATTATACGGATATTATATCGCTCCAGAAAATGTTGAAAATCCTATCCTGGGGGAAAAGGAAAATCTGAAAAATTTCTGAGGGATGATCTCAAGCCCCCTGTTACTTCTACTTCGAATAAATTTAGGTAAATTTCCCCTTTGACAATCCCTCCCTTGCAACGTCCATGATCCTTCTGGCCCGAGAAACACACCATTATTTAATTTATGTTTGAAACTAGGTACACTGGGAAACTTTAGTGCAAGGAAATTTTGTCAAAACTAAGGAAATTTTGAGCAGTTGGCAGGAAATTATTATTTGGGGGGATTATTATTCTCTAGTTATAATCACTCCGCGTATTTTCAGTTCTAAAATGTTGTATTTCGGCTGATGAGACTGGTCGTGACTCGATGTTTACGACCGTATGATAACCAGGATTTTGAGTGCATGCGCGAGCAATTAAGTGAGGCTTATCACGGGAAAAGTTCGTTGACATTGTATGGATTTGTACAAAGTCAAGGCTAACATGAGTTTAAAATACAAAAGCTATCCCCGTGATTATTATGGTATTATATATATATATAATCGTCTTGCGTGGAAAAGTTGGCTGCTATAAATGTAATTAATACAAGCAAAAAAGGTATGTTTGCAGTGCACAAAAACATCGCATTAAACCTCTCTGACGTTTGTATACCTTCTAATCTACCGGTAATTTGATTGTTTTTTTCCTTTTCAGGAAATTCTACTTTCGCAATGTGGCTCGAGTTTGTCAACAAAGAATGGTGACGTCTCTAAATCTAACTTGTTAGGGCGTAAACTATACTGATCCGTTTTCGAAGGGAGACTATTAGAAACCACAAAACTGCAGAAAAAAATCATCTAAAACCAACACCACGGAAAAACGTCTGCGCATGCACAAGAACTAAAAATGAAGAACATTTTAAATTTTACTACTCAAAACAAAAACATGGCTATTTATTCATTCGATGTAAGTGAAACAAACAAGAAAATACAGAAAACGGGTAGACTATAGTAGTATAGACCTTAATCATGAGTCATCTAACATTTGGCGTGCAAAATGATCAATTACCAAAATTTAGACTTAAAAAATAAACAAATTCTTAAGAAGATAAGGCTCTTGACTTAAATTTATAAGAGTCTTAATGTCTTTGATTCTACGCAAAAAACTTATTGAGAAAAATGTGGATCATATGAACCTACGAGACATATCTTTGTATGGTTCAGTTAAAGAACTTTTTATACAATACATTTATCGACAGTCAAAAATGAAATAATACAATTTCTTGCATAATACTATTTCTTGCACATGGGGGACTGTAAATATATAGATTGTCATGTCACATTCATTTTCACAGAAAAGGCAAAACATCGAAGTTGTTCCTTGTCACTTCCACTTTGAGTTTTTGACAACCCAGTCGCAATATACTTGACAGTAAAAAGTTGACGCTTGTGCAGACGTTTTCCTGCGGTGTTTCTAAAACCGCAGTAATTTTCGATTATATATAATCATGTAATTGTCTAATTGATGCAATCAGGGCGCTTATATAGATCTATATATAGATCTTTATCTATATAAGCGCCCTAGATGCATCGTTAGAGAAAGAGCCTTTAGGTCCAGACACACCGGACGCGATTCGACAACGCGACGCGATTTTTTAGTTTTTGAAAGTTAATTAACTTGCCAATGAGAGGAAATTTTAAAAGATATGTAGACCAAATAACTCAAAATGTTATAGCGCTTCTAAATATTTGGAAAATTTAAACTAGGATCAAAGTTATCTGTCAGTGAAAATCGAAAAATCGCGTCGCGTTGTCGAATCGCGTCCGGTGTGCCTGGACCTTTTCACCTCCGAGATCATGGATTCCATTCTCATGATAGAGTTGTGAAAAAGTCAGTCAACGCTCTATCGAAATTCGTGGGTTTTCTCCGGTTTCCTTCCATACCCACGCGCGTAAAAACGCACAAGTTGTTACAGGTCTGCAAACA